GATGCCTTTGGCGTCTTAGACCAGATGCTCCTTTCTAGCCTGTGTCACTGTAGATAAATAAGAATCTTATTTTCCCAAGCCACTGTAGAAAAAGACGAGCATTATCTATAAACGGCTACACCCAAAGCCTCCATCTCATCAAGTGTCTTTGGTCTTCTTCTTCCTTGGCCATTGCCAAACTTGTGCCTTCATCACCAAGGCACCATTGTTGTACGGACCAAGCTCAAACCCTAACTTGCCCCTTCTCCAAAATACTCCCAAATGTTGATCACATCGTTTTTGGTCAAGTGTTCCATGTGGTTTGTAAAATCATCAGTACGGCCCATGGCATTTTCCGTGCATCAAGTCCATCTTTTCTCTCCTTCAATATCTCATAACTCATCTCAGCTCAACAAAGCTTTGGTGGATTAGGAATCTTTTAGTAGCAGTTGTTAGAGTGTTAACATACTCAGACTGTGTAAAGATGATTAAGCAAGTCTTGTAATAGATTGTAGGCGATTTCTACTAAAGCAAAAGGTGTTGCTAATTCCCATTGTCTCTTGATTTATCTTCTGCGATAATTTATTATGGTGTCATCTTTGCACTAAAAATTGGTATCAGAGCATGTTACCTAAGTTACTGGTGTGATTCTGGAGGTGAAGATGGACACGATTCTTCTATGCAGAAGACAATCATGTTGCATGATGGCTGATATTGTCATTAGAAGACGCATATGAAGCTGTTAGTTTGAGGAATCAATTCGGGTGTGGATAGCTGTGAAGATTTGGTGGGAGGATCCTACCAGAGTTACAGCAGAGGAGAAGAAGCTCAAGATGAAGGAGCCAAGACAAGGAGTTTTTCGAAAGGTAGTTCGGCGGGTGCGTCAGAGCATGATGCAGTATTTTTCCGCTGGAACAAAAGCTATATCGTGATCACGCATGAAGGAGCAGATGGTGTGTCTGTAAAGTAGGGATTGACACCTAAGAATCTGTGTTTTAGCTTAGTATACAATCAAACAAAGAGAGAATTGGTGACGTCCTGGTGTAAGGAAATACATATCTCGTGGGGGAAAAGAGCATAGTGATAGGCGTTCTGATGTAGATAGTGCACATCTCGTGGGGAGGGGAGAAAAGCATATCTATTGTAGAAGATGTAAATAGTGAAAATCTCGTGGGGGATAAAGGCATATCTAGCATGGAAGTTTTTAGGTGAAGAAACATGTTTGTTGAACCCTTGATTGGTACATAAAGCTAAAAGGGTGAGAATGAAGATGCAAGCATGAGCTTGTAGATGTCAATAGTCTTCCATCACTAACTAAGCGACCAAGTCACTGATTCTAGATGCATTAGTCGTTAATACATGAGGCATGCGGAGTGGTAGGGACCATGCTGATGTAGATGTTGTAGCTGGCAAAGCATAAAGTTGAGGGTTTTATGTTCTGTCGAAGTCGCTGAAGTAGTTTCTGATGCAGTGTGCGTCATAATGTACACCAGGAGGCATGCAGAGTGGTGGAGACCATGTGGATGCAAGATACTGAAAATAAACTTGAGGAGCAAGTTTATGCTTTAAGGAATAAGTACAATTCCAAGAAAATGAAAGAGTACTTATTAATATGGAAGTTTTCCATATAACTTCTATATCTATGTTGCCTTAGACAAAGGGTTTTGGGAACGTGGGATCACTATAAGAGAGGCATGTGATCATTTGTATTCCATAAAACACTGGGAATATTATTATAAAGGAAGGGTGAAAACCCTTAAAACTGTTCCTGGGTCGTGCTGAACCAGACGATGAAATACTGACGATGGAGAGACAAGTTTGGGTGGATTAGGAATCTTTCGGTATCACTTGTTAGAGTGTTAACAGACTGTAAAACTGATTAAGCAAGTTTTGTAATAGATTGTAGGCGATTTCTAATAAAGCAAAAGGTGTTTACTAATTCTCACTGTCTTTGGATTTATCTTCTACATTACTTTATTGTGGTGCCATCTTTGCACTAACAAGTTACTTCAGTAATGCTTTACAATAAAGGCAAACATCAATGTTGCTTGGACATATGCCTGAGCTGGTCCAACATCTCTCTTTGTACTCTAAAACTTCAGAGATTTTGTATTCTTATTTCTCTAATCTAACAAATTGTAACTAACAATTTCATGTGTTACAAAATTTCTGTATAGGGTACAAAGTTGGGTATATCTAACAATTAAGCTCACCTTGCAAAAACCAAAAATGTAGTCACTCTCTGATTCTTACTTAAATATCCAGATAATCACCAGGGTCATCAATGGAATCCAGATGCTCATCATCTGAATCTCTGAAATATATAATCTCCCAACCCGTATTGGACGAAAAAACATCGGTCAATAAACATTATATCCATGTTTGAATACAAGATCTTCTTTGTTTGATTGAAATCAAGGTTTAAAAAAATCGTTTTAAGGGTTTGCTAAGGCATGAGGCTACTACGGTTGGGGGGTCACACCTCCAGGAGGTGAAGCCAGATGAATTTGAGTTAGCGTCGCTTCAACCTCGCCTTAAGCCGCCTTGGAAGCCTCGCGCCTCATCACTCTTCATTGCTTTATGCAACTAAAGGTAAGGTTATGGTCACAAGTTAGTTTGCATTTGGAAAAGGTAATTATGATTTACATATAATATTCACTTTCTTTTTATAGTTTCAAAACTTTAATTCACGTAAAAACTAATCAGTGTCTTTACAATTTTGAATAGATCTTTTCATGCGAGACTCTTATCTATGTATATAGTCTTTTTTTTTTCTAGTTCAATACATCTTTCTTTCTAAGTCGACAAAGACTTAGGTTTACATTTAGTTTCTTTCAAGACTTTGTTGATTTAATTCTCTGTATTTTTATAGATTTTTGTAAGTTATGTTGATGAAGATTTATTTATTTTAAATTTTAATGGTTTAGGATAATGACAAAGAAGGGAAGAACCTGAATGATTTCTATGTACTAACCACTAACCTTATGTGTATTATTTAGACTACGACTTAGGTTGGCGAGGCGTTTTGGAACGACGCTATAGCTTTGTGGCGAGCTTGTATTCCTCATCGCCTCAAGCGTTGAAGCTATTTTATCATCCACAAGAGATCTTCGCCTATCATAGATCTCCGTCGACTTTCCATGATCTAAAGAACATAACCATATCAAGAAATGCTTTATCCACATTCTCAAACACTAAAGAGCTTTACATTTTCTACCTTTACCACAAAATGTGATATAAAACCCAGCTTGTGCTCAAAAGGATGCACAACTTTTTCTTTTTCGAACAACCATAGATTGAATTGAACACCAAAATCTAAGGCTATACAAGTTAACAACAAGAGACAAAAGAAGCAAAACAAGATCAATTGCGTTAGGCAAAAGGCCTTTGGTGGTTGCAATAACAGTTTCCAAGGAGGAAATCAGTGAAAAGTTTATTCCCATTTCATCAAGCGGAAGCTATAATTTCCTCTTATGTTGAGAGCTGGCGCGAGCTCTCCTTCTTCGCTTCCATCTCTTAACTTTCTGAAAATTGAATTGGTCATTAAGAGAGAAAAAAATTTGGAACTTCAAAAGCGAGAGACTAGAGCGTCGGCTTGCGAATTTTGTTCGAATGGTTAATTTGGTTATGTATTTCGGTTTTTAGTTAGTTTGGTTCAAATAAAATCTCATCTAATTAGATTGAATGAATCTGATTTGGTATCTGATTAGTTCAGTTTAAAAAAATAGTTTGCCGAAATTAAGCAACATTTTTCTGTACTGATTGGATTCAACTAACTTTAACTTAAAAAAAAAAAAAAAATCTTATTTCAATTATTTCGAATTTTGATTAATTCAGTTAATTTGATTAGTATCGTGATTAGAATTAGTATGATTTAGTTGTGTTCTTATTTAAAGGAATAATTTGAAAAATACTATATTAATAGTTAAAATTTGAAAATTACACTATCTTTATTCATTTTTGAAAACTACACTTTATTAGATGCTAAAAGACATTTTTATCCAAATATATATTTAAATAAATAGAAAATAAACTCGAAAATAAAGAAACAATATTATAATTATTAATATTTGAGATTAGTCTATGTTTGAGATAAAATTATTATTTCACTATTTTAAATTTTATAATAACAATGACATTATGAAATAAACAAATTATGATGTGTTTGTTATTTTATCACAAGTTTATCCTATAAAATTTTGTTTTAAAAAATTTATAGAAAAAAAGTTGTACGAAAATCTTTAATCTCCATATAACAAAGTCAGGTATTTCTCTAAACATATTCATTATTAGTAGAATTCACATATTTGGTAAATAACTAACAATTTCTCCAGAATTAGTGAGGAGCTAACAATTTCTCAGGAATTGGTGAAGAACTAACAAATATAAGAATGAGAGGAAGATGGAACTATGAAACTAGAGAAAGGAAAAAAAAATGTTTTGAAAAATTAGAAAAAAACAATTATGGAGAAAAGAACATAGGAAACTTGTCCTTAAAAAAAATAAAATTATGATATATTTTAAGAAGATATTGTAGATATTCAGATTTTTTTTTAAAAAAAAACATTATTATTAAAAAATTAAATATAAAAATTAAATAAATTATGATGAATTTTTTAATAATAATAGTAATTACTCTGATTGGATAATTTAATAAATTTACATATAAAAAGTGTATTTTCAAAGAAAAAAAAAAGAAACAATGGCGTAATTTTCTAATTAAAATTTTGTATAAGTCTATTTCTCCAATTTTTCCCGTTTTAAATGAAAATTCATATTAATTGACTAAAAGTAGAAAATCAAAGCAATTGACTGTAAGCCAAATTAATAATGGCTTTTACAAAAACTATCTAAATGAATCGAATTGAACTTTGAATCAAAAACCGAATATTCGGTCTGGTTCGAGAGGCTCGGACAGGTCAAAATCCCAGTTTATCAATTAGCCCAATGGGGTTTGTAAACACTCGAGGTAACATAAACAGCGTTGTCGTTTTAAACGGCTAAAAACGTCAACCATTTTGAATCTGCTTCTCAAAGAAACGAAATCTAAAGCAGAAAAAAATTTAAGTTTGGAGGCGTTGGGGAGTAAATTCGTTCCGCCGGCGAAGAAGTAGCACCCACCCATCGGCTCCCTTTTCTTTTCTTTTCTTTTCTCCGGGAAAGCTATTAAGGTATCTGTTTATCTTCTACATCGATCTCGTATTATGTTCCTTTTCGATTTCAACGGTTCTCGTATTATTGCACGGAAAGTGTTCGACTTATTTCCTGTTTAGCTCATCATAGTATTACCCGGAAAGTGTTCGACCACTTAGTGTGAAACCCTTTTGGGTTTTAAACAAGTTTTGATATTTTCTCGTTTTAGACAGGCATAGCATCCTCTGTGGGAAGATGGAAGCCAAGTTCTTTCGGTTCTTGAAGATTGTTGGAGTTGGATACAAAGCCAGAGCTGAGGAAGCAGGGCGTTTCTTATACCTCAAGTTAGGTTACAGTCATGAAGTTGAACTGGCAGTTCCTCCAGCTGTCCGTGTCTTCTGTTTCAAGAACAATGTGGTTTGCTGCACCGGGATCGACAAGGATAGGGTGCATCAGTTTGCTGCCACAGTCCGGAGTTGCAAACCTCCTGAGGTTTATAAGGGGAAAGGCATAATGTACATTGACGAAGTCGTCAAGAAGAAGGTTGGAAAGAAATCCAAATAATCTCTTCTTTTCTTTGTTTACTCTGTGGAATACATTGATTTTTTTGGTGATAGCTTTGGGATATGCTTATCAATAAGTTTGGCTTGGATGTTAATTTTTGGCTTATGTTAATTTTGTGATAATTTTTGGCTTATGTTCTTGAAATCCAAATATGCAACATCATTTTGTGGCTTATGTTAATTTTTAATCAAACAAGAGTAGAAGATTTTGTCTTCAAACATGGATATATTGTTTGTTGAATCATTGTTAAAGAAAAACTACAGTGCAGATATGAAGTCACTTGAGCAGAATAAAGCTAATGGTAATAAAAGAACAGGTTTGATATGCACAATGTGTTGTGTCTATTAAACTGGATCGTCGAGGAACACATAGATTAGTCAAGCATGTAGATTCTGGAGGCAATGTCTTGAACCAACCAATCGAATCCTTCCAACAAACCTTCACCTGTGTATGCACTGCAACCCACAATTCTCCAGTGCCTGCTTTTATCCATGGACTCTAAGTTTAGCACCTGCACAAACAAGAAGATGAAAACAAAGTAACCCTTTTAAGACAGAGACGAAAATTAAAGCCAATATAACAAACACATATCTAACTAATTCTCGCTGAAACCGAGAAAGAAACCCTATCAAGACAGAGAGACAGAGATAAAACCCACAAGCGTTTATATATTGTCATGGAGTTTCAAAGCCCTTACTTTGCCAATCTCTTCAGGTGTAAGAGCACCTTGAATATCCTGTTTATTTGCTAGTATCAGCAAAGATGACCCAGCAAGCCTCTGCCATCAAAAGAAAAAACCAAGTTCAGTATCCAAAACTCATTCCACCATTTGTATATGAATCATCATCACAAACAGCATAGCTTTTGAAATAGGATGAATAGCAGACAGAGTTTGGGAATACCTCTTCCTTCAAGAGATTGTCAAGCTCGAGCTTGCAATCATCAAGCCTCCTGAGATCAGAGCTATCAACAACCCAAACCAACCCATCAGTCTGCTCAAAGTAGTTTCTCCAGTAAGATCTTATAGTCTTTTGCCCACCTACATCCCATATATTCAAAGTATACCTACTCACACACACACAAGTTGCATGTTTTGATGAGATATTACTCAAAACCAAGAACATTAAAACTACAAAGCTGTTGTGAAAAAGGTATACAGACTTTTGGTAAATAATGGTTTTGATGTTGAATCCAAGAGTTGGACTGATCACGCTTGTGTCTTCTCCGTTCATTTTCAGGACAATCGTCGTCTTCCCAGAGTTATCAAGTCCACTACACACAGCAGAAAAAAAATCATCTAATTTTGAGAAAATGTATATTTAGATATGCAAGATTGTGAATGTGAACATACACCATGAGAATACGCATCTCCTTCTCTTTCTTCTTGATTTTCCGAATGATGCTTAGAAGTCCCATTCTTCCGTTATTTCGATCGCTACAGAACAGCGCTTTCTACTCTACAAGTTATGTCGGGATCAGGAAAGAGTGACGACGGAGATGACCCTGAAGTGCGAACGAGGAGGAAAAGATTTTTTTGTTCTTTTGTTTGCAACGAACCATTTAGGCCTTCAATAGTCAATGGGCCCATTAATGCTACACAACAAGTGTGCACCTTATTATATTGGGTGTGATCGGCTATTGCTGTAGATGCTCTCGACAGCCATAATTATACTTACAGCCCTATATCTACACCAATCATGATTTTTATTTTTTCTAAAGCTCACAGCCATTTTTCTTTAATTCTACAACACTTCTTTAAATTCATGTCCTTATAATTGCTCTGCAGAGACAAATACCTACAGCTCATATTTAAAAGCTTTTAAAAATTAAAAATCTAAAGCCAAAAAAAAAAAAATCACAGCAATATTTATACAGCCAAAAAATGAAATCACAGCTCTTACCAATCACCCCCATTGTCACAATGACCGTAATGGATGTACCTAACTAACACAAAATGTCTTGGTAGATTAAGGGTTCATGTCTTCCTCAGAAGGTAAAATTGAGATAGTATATACACTTTGAGAAGCAATTCCGGTTTAGATGGGACACATGTAGGTCAGTAGGGGGTGTCAATTACTCTCGTTGGGCCCAAAACTACAAAACCTATTGCTATTTAAGTCCGGTCCGATCCAGTCCAGCCCACAAAAATTTTGGGCCTATAATTTAAAATCCGGTCTGTCATAAACGGCCTTTAAGGGTTTTAGGATTTTTAAGATTTAAAAGATTAAATATATTAAATTTAATGCCAAAATTAATTTAATTCCAAAGTTAAACAATAGATATATGTGTATAATTTTTTTAAACTATAATAGATGTCTTATCTAATAAACCATATGAATAGTAGTACTGGATAAAAATAAAACAGTTCTTTTTAGTTATAAGCAGTAGAAGTTGTAAAATCAAGATTATGATGTTTTAATGACTCCCCAACGACAAGGTCTCCGGGTCAGATGGCTACACAAAAGAGTTTTTTGTAGCTGCTTGGCCTGTGGTTGGAAAATATTTTATCACCGCAATCTAGTCCTTCTTTTTGTTTGGCTTTATGCCGACATGAATCAATGCCACAATGCTTACCTTAATCCCAAGGATTTTAGGCCCATATCTTATTGCAATCTTATTTACAAGGTGATATCGAAAGTTCTCGCCTTTAGACTCAAGGTTATTTTTCCAGAAGCGGTGGAAGCAAATCAAAGTGCATTTATCAAAGAGAGACTCCTTTTGGAGAATCTTCTTCTAGCATCGGAGTTGATGAATGGGTATCATAAAGCAACCGTATCAGAGAGATGTGCTATCAAGTTTGACATATCAAAGGCCTTTGACACAGTGCGTTGGTCATTCATCACGACCGTTCTCCTTGCCATGGGTCTCCAAGCTCAGTTCATCAACTGGATCAAAGTCTGTATATTCACTATTGTCTTCTCCGTGTCAGTTAATGGCAGCCTTGAAGGTTTCTTCACCAGTGCGCGAGGAATTAGACAAAGATGTTCTCTCTCGCCTTACCTCTATGTTATCATCAATAATGTCTTGTCCAAACTGCTTAATAAGGCAGCGGAAGAAGGACAATTTGCTTATCACCCACAATGTCAAGCAGTAAAACTAACTCACCTTAGTTTTGCAGATGATATACTGGTCTTTACAAATGGCACGCCAGACTCTCTTAGGGGAGTTCTCCAGGTTATGGAAACCTTTGCGAGTATGTCATGACTATTAATGCTGATAAGTCTCAAATGTTTGCGGCGGTATCCAATCTTGACCCATTGTTACTTGAGGCCGAAGCAACATGCATCACTACTGCTACTCTTCTGATTCGATACTTGGGGATGCCACTGACTACCAAGGTTTAAACTCCACTTGACTACGACCCTCTGATAAACAAGGTCAGGGGAAGGATGCTCCATTGGTCTAATAAAAGTCTTTCTTTTGTGAGGATACTTAACTGATTCAGTGCGTCATAGTAAGCATTGTAAACTTTTGGAGCTCTGCTTTTATTCTTCATGTCCAGTGTTTGGAAACTATTGAACAGATGTGTAGCGCGTTTCTATGGTCCGGATCACCTACACAGTCACATAAGGCCAAAGTATGCTGGGAAGACGTGTGCTATCCTAAGGAAGAGGGCGGTTAAGGAGTACGACGTCTTCGAGACTCTTCAATGGTATTTGCTCTTCGTGGCGCACTCAACCGAGCTCACTTTGGGTCAGTTGGACAAAACACTATTTGTTGAGACATAGTTCTTTTTGGGATGTGGGGGATGATACAAAGGGGTCTTGGATGTGGAGAAAGTTGTTAAAGCTTACGAACCATGCTTATGATTTTCTGAAGATGGAGGTCCGGAATGGAGCCACCACTTTCTTTTGGTTTGACAATTGGATGGATATGGGAAGGCTGATTGATGTGACTGGAGCTATAGATACTGTTTATTTGGGTATACCTCGTAGTGCTACGGTATCTGATGCAAAAACTGACTCTGGATGGTGTGTTTAGGGAAAGAGAAGCTGGCGTTTTTGAGATCTTTATGACAAGATCCTAGCTCAGCCGCTACCTGAGGATGGGTCGGGTACTGATCTGGTCTTGTGGAAGCATGGGAAGGATGACTTTAAGGACTCTTTCTCCTCAAAGAAGGCCTGTGAGCAAATAAGACCTCGAAAAATTAGAGCTCAATGGAGTGGTGTGGTCTGGTTTACGCAGGGCATACCGAGGTATGCGTTCATCACTTGGTTGGCTGTGTTAAATCGACTTTCCACATGAGATAGAATGAGAAGCTGGAGGCGGTACAAGGATGTGAGCTGGGTGGTGAGAGGACTGAGACAAGAGATCATATTTTTTTCGTTTGTCCTTATTCCTTCACTGTATGGGAAAGCTTAGTGCGGGGATTCTTTGGGAGGAGAACAGATCCAGATTGGGATGAAACGATGAAGATGGTAGCTAGCCATAGAAACAATCGGCTAGACTCTATCTTGTTAAAGATGGCCTTTCAGATCTATCACCTGTGGAGGGAGAGGAATGGAAGAAGACACCAATTTCCGTGGAAATCTGCAGCTCAACTCCAGAAGAACATTGATCGAATGATGAGAAATCGAATAGCTCCTTGAAGTACACTGGCCATCACCGCAATGCAGGACTAATGCAGCGGTGGTTTGAGATAAAAGGATGATAGAAGTAGTATTTTTACACAAGATTTATACCATCAGTTTAGTCATTCTTTTGTACAGAGTTTTGTAAAGGTTTACTCCTCATGATGATCAATAAATTTAAAATTTCATAAAAAAAAATGACTTACACATCCTCACCATTGTCAAAACTACGTATAATTTTTTAAAAAATATTAAATGTTTACATTTATATTAATATAAAATAATTTCTATAAATATTAATATGTTACATGAATCATCAAATGTAAATCATCCCAAAACCAAGTATACAAATCAGTACTTCAACATATCTTGGTAAGAGACGACTTCTGTATTGTTTAACTTTAAGATATGAGCAACAATGTTAAAACGAGACTTTAACGCCACTATACTTATCAGAATTATATATTTGTGTAAGATATGAATATCAATTCTATATTTGTTTAAAACATGAGTACGAATGATAAATAACCAAATCAATTAAAATACAAATTTTGAGCTTTCCGGTCGGTCCTAGTCCAAACTGGTTTAACGCCAAAACATTTAAAGCCCAAATGGGCTAATCTAAAAGGTTTTTTGGACTTATATAATTGAGCCTTAGCCCGGTAATTTATAGGGCTGGACGGGCTCAGACCGTGGGCTTCAACCCTAATTGATATATACACATGTAGATTTTGAAACCCAACCCGGATCCGCAGTCGAACTGATAAACCTGATATTTAAGCCGGCTTAGGTTTTATGAATAATCATTATTTAAAAACTCAACAGAACCATTTTTTTCAAAAAAAAAAACAACTCAACAGAACCCGCAAAAAACATTAAAACCCGTAATCCAGCTATTGTTGGAGTACTAGCTGAACCAGTAGGTAACTTTTACTTATTCTTTTCTAAGATTTTTAAGTTATGTTATTAGAATTTATTTTGTATTCTAATTAACAATTCAGGTTAATTTTTTTTGATCATATATGCTACCGATTAAACTATTTTATTTGTAATTTTTAGTTTTTGACGAAGATTTAACTATGCCATATGAAGAAAATGAAGTCAACAATGATAGAGAGAACTATCATTTGGTATTATTTATTTTTGTTATCGACAATCTATTATAGTTTATCTATTACAGTTTGATGTTTTATTTTTGATTTATTTTGGATCTAAAGTATAATTTTAGTATTCACATTTAGTATTTAAATACTTATAAATTTGAAGTCTTGATATTTTTTATTAGATGTTACAACTGCTAATTTGTTACAAAAATGGTTAAATAGTCTAACTTCTTTTTTGATATTTTTGTATGTCAAAAAAAAAAAAAAAATAAAGTTAAGTATTTTCTTAATTTTTTAAAAGTATATATTATATTTTTAATAGCTAATATTATTATATAACATAATTAATTAATTAATTAACTTGCGGCTCGTCAACTTAATAATCTGGTGATCCAGAAAATTGATTGGTTTAATATCGGGTCGGGTTCAATACATTGGGTACATGCAGACATGCAGTGTAACAGTGTCTTTCTGTATCCTAATAAATAAACGCTTCAATTTTTAAATGTACGTTCTTAGAAAAATTATTGTTTTTTAGTATTAGATAAAGGGTTTGGAAACATTTTAATGTATATATTTTTATTATAAAAATTTCAAAACTATTCTTCATAACTAAAAAAATAATAATAATAATTAAATCTTCTGATTTTTTTAAAAAATGTTTTGTAGATCTATAAAATTCCATTTAGTAGATGCTTCTGATGACAGCGGAGAAGCATGCAGTGCCAACGAGAGATCAATGCGAATGACAGTCTCTCTGTATACGAGTCCAGCTCTGCTATATTTATG